ACAATCGACTCTCAAATCGTTGTATGTAATCAAATCGAAATTTACAGTACCTCACTACACGAATGCACCTATCAGTAAAGATGATCCACGCGCACCCCAATTCGCAAAAGCTGCAGAGTTATTCCGGAAAATGATCGATACCACTGTTGATCCTTGCAATGATTTCTACAAATTCACGTGTGGCAAATTCGATAGATCTAAAACGAAGATGAGCTTCGAAGAAGCGGAACTTTACAACCTAATCGTCATGTTATTACAATTCCGCGATGCATCCCATCCTCATCCCAAAGTACGTTGACTTGCTTTCCTCTCAAGCTCTCTTCACTGACACAACTGTCCTCATCTATCGACATCAAAATTTGATTTCAGCTACCGAAACCAGTCCAACAAGTGTTTTACTTATACGATAAATGTCTATGGGCAACGCAAAACTGGAAATTAGCGACGAACAATTTTACGTATACAGAAAGTAAACTGAAGCAATACCAACAAGCAACAGGCCTTCCTTTTCCACTGTTACATCAAACTGAGCCTGATCCAGCAATGCCAAACAGGACGCTTTTAGCTAAAGCGATGGGCTATTTGGATGGTGTGTTCGGTACAAGCTCACTGATCAGTTCGTTCATTGATACCAACTGGAAGTTTCCACACAGCACGCAGGGTTACATGCTCTTTATCGATCAAAGTTCGCTCACACTCCCAATTCCTGTCTACAAAAAATTATGGAACGAGCAATATAGTGATTATTTTACTAACATGACAATGGGTATGTTCAATATGATTAGACCTGGTTTGGATCAAGCAAAACTTAGGACAGATGTTAAAGCTATCTATGAACTTGAGTACACAATTGCGATTAACGTAACGACTGATGAGAAAACCAGACGTCGCTTTGCAAGATCCTATAATCGGTATTCGCTGGTGGAGGCGAATGCAGAGTTCAAGTTCATTGATTGGTCGCAGTACTTCAATCAACTCTCCACATATGCTGACCCTGATTCACAGAATAAAATACGATCAAACGACTTCGAATTCATCATAATGGAACCGTCCATCCTGCATAAACTCGCTGAATACATAGAAAAAGGGAAATTCACGCCACGTACCATCGTCAATTATCTATACTTCCGTGTTGCAAAACACTATGAGGCTTACTTACCGAATGGAGCACAACAGAGAGATGAAACTGTTGAGAAGATATATGACATATTCGGAAAAGATGACTTCGATATGCGTCCGAAAAGACGCGAGTGGAGACCGATTGTTGGACCGCTCCCGAGGAGAAATCGGCGTTTATTGGCAGGCATTTTAGATGAAGCGATGTGTATCGGACTGGTCAACAGCAATCTAGATTATGCAAGCGGTCGTATCTTCATTGATGCACTCTTCCCAAATCCTGCTCAGAGAGTTAGTAGATTCGTTATTGCATATGTTAATAATATGTTCTTCCATTCTTGCTTCTACTCGAAACGGATCAAGTGCTTCTCTGACATCACCACAATATTACCGAGTATTCAGTATGACGTTCATGATATGATGAGTTCATTATTAATTCAGAATAAATTCCGTCAAAACTTCGCCGATTTCACGGAGAGCATTCTTGATGGATTCCGCAGTATGCTTGACGAACTGGAATGGATGGACAGGTCATCGAAAAGCGGTGCGTTCAACAAAGTTCGAGATCTCGTCAAGAATATCGCATATCCGAACTTCCTGACTGATGATGCTCTTCTCAGTGAACATTACGCTTCACTGGAACTCAGTAAAAACGACACGTTTTTGACGATGCTCGAAAATATCTATGAATTTAATATGCGCACCGAATACGCGAAGCTGCGTGCAGGTCCAAGTCAAAGAAACGATTTTGGAAATACCCCGGATGTGGTTAATGCATGGTACCAGGTAAACCTTCGATATACTGAGATGATTGCGTCATCTTGAGTCGCTTCTTGACGTACTCGTAAAAAAACTGAAAATGAACTTCGAGATAACAATGAAACGAACTACTTTTAGCCAGAAATGAATTCGATCACCATCCCAGCTGGTATCATTCGTTATCCTTTCTATAATCCAATGTGGCCTGCGGCCGTTAACTACGGTTCGATGGGTGTGATAATTGGTCATGAATTAACGCATGGTTTTGACGATCACGGAGTCCAGTGGGATGGTACCGGTGTACTGTATCAGTGGATGGATAACAGCACATTCAAATCATTTGAGGTATTCAATCTGGCCTTCTTTCCCACATCAGTTCACTTTTTCAAATCTGATTGCTTCAATTTCATCTCCATCCACAGTGGAGATCAAACAGAAACAACTTTTCATATTAAATTGTTTCATACACCCTTATGATTCCGAACCATAATATTCTTTTAAACAATCTTAAAACATTCGATTTTTCGTAGAATATGGCTCAGTGTGTAGTCGACGAATACAACGGTTTCTGCCCGTTCCCCTCTGGCAGACCGAAATGCCTCGATGGTTCCAATACTCAAGGTGAAAACATAGCAGACAATGGAGGTAATGTGTTATGGTTGCTAGCTTATTGATCTCAATGACTGGCTCTGTTTTCACTGTGTAGCGTATGTATCATTCGCTCCGATGATTGATCATGCTCAGTTTTTAATGCATGGAATTCACCATATATAAGGGGATAGTAAATTCAATGTCAGAGGAAATTCCCTGAATGTGGAGAAACAAATGGTCGTTTTAGTAATTTGCTAAACAACAGCAGTGTTGAATATGCGCATTTCCAGGAATTCACGCTGCATACCGTGCCTTCAAAACCTATCAGAATTTGAATGGACCTGAACCTGCATTTGATGATGCCCTAATGCAACAGTTCACTCCAGATCAACTATTCTTCATGAGTTTTGCGCAGGTTTGGTGTGAAAAAGCATCCAGTGCTTCCGGTTCCGCTATATCTATACTTCTCGACCCGCACAGTCCATCAAAGTATCGTGTATTCGGTACAATTCAGAACTTCCCAGCATTCAGAAGTGCCTTCAGTTGTCCATTGAATTCAGAATATGCACCAAAGAAGCACTGCGATGTGTGGATATCGCCAGTGAAAGGAAGTAAGTGGCGATGTTTTTCCCAATAAACACCGTTCTTATTCACAAAAATCACATTTACTTTATCGATCTTTCTAACCTTCGACGATTGCTCAATCAATTCAAACCGTTCAACTCGCAAACACACTTCCACCATGACCAACTCAACTCCAATCCAATTCATTTCACCTTCACCGCAATCAAAATCACCTCTTTCAGCATATGGTATACCAAAAGCACCCAAACCAGAGAACGCACTGAACATATTACCAGCACCGAGGATCTCACCCGCGGAAGAACAGAAACATAAAGGATATACAGAAGCAGTTCAACTCTACAAACAGTCCATGAATCTGAGTGCCGATCCTTGCAACAACTTTTATGACTACGTTTGTGGTAGTTATAATCAACCGCTCAGCTTCACGAAAGGTCGTATCGCCAATTACCGAGCGATGAGTTATCAAATGGAGTTACCGCGGTACAAGGAAGTTGATGTTAGATTAGCAATGCAATTGATTCTATTTTTGTGTTATCACTTATTCTTCACTGCTTTGAATTTTTGTTTCGAATGCGATATGGAGCATCTTTGAATTGTACCTCGAAGGAATCATTGTAGAACGACTTTTTGCTGACCTGCGTCATTCCACTCAGAAAGGAATTTGTTCAAGAAATAGATGACAATGAATTATTATGCGATATCAAATACATTGTCTTATTAGCATGGTCTCCATTAACCATACACCCTTTGTGTCAAGGAATGACAATTTATTGTATTCAACTAAACTTAAAAATCGGTTCTCAAAAGAAATCGTATGTACATCAGATGCTACACTTTTATACGCAATCAATTTGCAATTATTCAAACAATGAAAATTCAAATCAGCTTTCAGACTCCGAATGCGTTGAAGAAGTTGATTCAATTCTATGACACGTGCAAATCAGTGAGAGCCGATTTTGGGGCTTATATCAAGGACGGTGAGATTGTTCTGAATGCAATCGAGGATTTCAAAACAAGAACTCAACTGAAATTTTCCATGATCGAATCGCAAAGTACTCAATCCCAGCAAACGATCAATGCCGAAATATTGGGTGATGCGATCGGATACTTAAGCTCTCAAGGAATCGATACGTTAATCAGTGCTATGGTTGACACCAACTGGACTCATCCTCAACATTATTGTTTCTATATTGACCAGAACGTTTTGTATTATTCAAAGACCTATTACTCGCCAATCGCTTGGCCAACAACATATCCTTCCTATAAAAGCAACACCATTGATCTTTTCAATCATTATGCCGCCCTCAAAAAGGTTTTCTTTCGATGCATTTATCAAAAACTTATTTTTGTCTTTCCCATTAGATGCACAAGTCTGATTTTTGTTGAGCTTCTTAGATATGGCATTGAAATTTGAAACCTTCAATGACCAATGAATCCAGTAACGGTCCTTGATTCCAAACTCTAAACAGAAAAATTAAACTGCGGAACAGAATTAATGAATTTCCACATATTCATTTTCAGATCCAACTGGATCAAACAACCTTGGCTAAGGATGTTGAAAAATTGTTGGATTTCGAACGCACCCTTGCACAGAAGTACAGTACGAGTGACACTGAAAGACGTCATTTCATGCGTTCCTATAATCCATACAACAAGCAAAACGCAACTGAGCCATTCAAATTCATCAATCTGGCCAGCTATTTCGCAGGATTATCAAGCACATATCCGACAGTTGATAAAGAATACTTTAGCAGAAGTGATCTCGTCTTCATAGTGATGGAACCACAGATGATCCACAAGTTGAGTGCAGATTTCAACACCAAATTCGATTCGAACACAGTTGCGAACTATTTGTTCTACCGAATCTTAGCACAACATCGTCAGTACCTGCCAAGACCGAGTGGTTACAAACTTCGTGAAGTGGAACCTCACCGGGAACACATGCCGTTCTTGGGTCGTCATGCCAAACGAGGTCAGTCGTTGCGTACCGGCATCACGGATGCGGCCTACAGAGAACCGTCTGTGCAATGCGCATACGAAACACTCGAGATACTGCAATACGCCAACGCACGAATATTCGTCGACTATTCGTATCCGAACAAAGAAGCGATCAGGCGAATACGACAGTTAGTGCAGATCACTTTCAGTTTGCATCTGAACGGTTCATAGTTCGACCACATTAAGAGATGGCTCGCATTTAGATCAAATGAAATGAAATCACATTCTCTTAGTTCATTGCATTCACTGTTAACCGTTAATTCTTTTCAGGCAAGTTGGTGGAATTATTGAGAATATTCTTATGTCATTCCGGGGAATGTTGAATCGTCTTGAATGGATGGACCAACGAACAAAACGCGGAGCATACGAGAAGATTACTGACCTGAAGCAGAATATCGCATTTCCAGATTTCATTCTTGACAATGAACAATTGGATAGCTACTATGCTGATTTGCATTATGCGCCAGATGATAAATATTACGATATGATTAAGGAAACGGATAAGTTCAATTTCGAACTTATCTACAAAGTACTGGTTGATGACTCAACTGTTAATCGAAATGATTTCGGTGGTCCACCTGGTACAGTGAACGCATGGTACTACGTAAGTTTTTTGGTTTAGCGTTCGATCTGCGAAGGAAGTGAATGTAATTTGATATTCATTGCAAGATTGCAGTTGATTCAGTGAACATCTTGTTGCGATCATAGTTATGGCAAGTCATATCACGGTCAACTTTTGCATGACGAACGGTCCTAAGAGGTCCGATTAGCTGTAGACCTGAGCTTTTGTGGCTTTGCTCACTTCCCTGATCTCAACTAAGAAAAAACCTTTCCACATGGATCATGCGCGCGACTCGGAGCATTTTATAGCATCGTGGACGGAGCGGTCATATTAGGCCGGGCCATAACTGTTTCGTTATTGGTGAAGTGGACACAGCCGGACTTGAGAGGCCCGCTTCGTCTCCGGTGCTATAAAAAGATTTCAGGCATGCGAGGGTTAGATGTTACTATGATCGTAACACTTTTTATCATTTCGTTGATTAGCAGTCACCTCATTGATAATACTTTATTTTGTGAACAGAACTTAACAGTTGGTAGTTTAGTCGACGTACAATTCGATAACGTTCCCGGCGGGTATTCTTCACCAGCCGTTCTTTGACGAGAACTGGCCGGCGTCGTTGAATTATGGTGGTCTCGGTTTGGTGGCTGGTCATGAACTAACGCATGGTTTTGATGATCAAGGGGTACAGTGGAACGGTGTTGGTGCATTAACGGATTGGATGACGGATGCATCGATGCAAGGATTTAACAGTATGGCACACTGTGTTGTCCAAGAATATGACCACTTTTGCCCGTTGAAGGGCACCGGTAAAATGCCAGATTGTGTTAACGGAGAACAAACACAGGGCGAGAATATCGCTGATAATGGAGGTTCGTTGTATGCACGCTCGGAAGCAATGAATTTCTTGTTGAGCAATCAGTTCACCTCATTCTCTTCACGAAACGCTCCTAATGATAACTTAAAATTGTGCATATTCAGAGTGCGTTTCGGCATTTTGAATCATTCGGATAAAATAATGAATCGAAACTGAATTGAATCCGAGATGTGAAATTCGTCAGTTATCTTGAAATTTATAACATTCACGTTGGGAATGGTTCAACTTTAAGCATTTTAAGATGGAGCGTATTTATGAATGCTACTTTGATGAAGTGCAACTAGAAGGATTCAGGCATTCATGCGGCATGGCGAGCTTATAAGGACCACATCAGCCAGTACGGACCAGACCCACAGTTGCCTGATCCACTGTACGGCGACTTCACCAACGATCAGCTATACTTCATGAGTTTCGCACAAGTGTGGTGCGAGACACCGCGGTCGATCGACGCACAGTATCGACAGATTATGACCGACCCGCACAGCCCGTCCAGATACCGCGTCTTCGGTACCATTCAGAACTTCCCCGGCTTTCGCGAAGCATTCAACTGTCCACTTGGATCCGCATACGGACCCAAAGAGCACTGCAGCGTGTGGGTGCCGAAGACCGGTGGTCAATAATTCTCACAACGAACACCAATTCCCACAACTTTCCTTTTCAAGTTGCATTTTTTATTGGACGCTTAAACGATTATTTTTGTGATTGTTTTTTAGTGATTTTTGAGTGATTCAAATGATTTTTAAGTGATCTTTAAGTGATTATTCGCCCTATTCAAGTGAAATAAACATGAATATATTCAGTAAATAAATGTTTATTCATTCGGCTTATGAAATATGGATAATAGTTGAAGACCCATTTAAATCAATCGTATAATCAAATGGCGGAACAGATGAAAAATTAAAGACTGTAATTCATGAACTCACTGATGAGGTGAAGTGAACGATATAAATGATGGATTCAAGAACTATTCGAATGAACCGTTTCCGGCTTTTGGAGGCAAGCATCCATTTGTGAATGCATCGATGAGTTCATTTCAAGGATGGGACATGTATATCGGAAAGTTTTGAAGTGAACTGCGAGAAATTAACCATGAAAAACAAATTGAAAAGGATGAGAGTGGACTCTGAAATTGGTTGCAGTGACAATATTTAATATTAGAGATCAAGGCTGATGTACAACAGACAATTAAATAAAACACAATTAGTTATAGTCAAGTATCCGTTGATGCAATCTAATATTACTGTTAACAAGAGCAGTGTAATTAAGAATACAATTACAACAGTGCGATCTATAGAACAATATCATTCCTCTGCTGATTCATTTCTCACAGAGGAACATTCGATAAACTTTTACATGATCCGCATTCCTGAATTCTGGTGTCGCGATTACCAGATAATCGCGAAGTAGAGACACATCGAACAAATTGTGCAACAAAGTATTTATCGCGAAGGAAGTCGCGATAGACATTCCAACAAAATATTTCCGAATATAGTAATCCTACATTAACAAATCTAAATATTCACATATATCCTTTACAAATTGTTAAGCTAAATACCTAATATGCAAGTCAGTCTTTATTGTAGCCGTATTGAATCTACATCTCGAAGCATAAAATAAGCACATCTTTAAATACACAAAATAAGCTGCAAAGTTGCAACAAAGAATTCACAAACACTCACAAAAAGACTACAACGCTTCTCATATATTCACAAAATAATATTATATTCACCCTCTATCAGTTACAACAATCATGCAATCTACAGGCAGTCGCCCTGCTTATTCGGAGCAACAACGAGCATGCCTTTCACTTAAATCTTCACCAGTTATTAAATCTTGACTCTCAAATCCTTATGACCACCTTAAACCTTAAACTCTCACTTACTTACATCAGTATAGATGTCGAGCCTCCAAATACAATTGTGTAATTCATCAAGATTTGTTAGTCCGATCACGTTACATAAATGTCTCGCGATTCGCATTCATTCTAATATCGGTTAATTACCCAAGTTTGAGATCGCTGCTACAAATCAAAGAAACTGAAAGATTATTGGTAGCGAACCACGATAAAAGTTCAAGTTGCCGATCTCCGACTGCTAATCATACCATTAAACTTACCGGAATAATTTGCATTATTCAACTGAAATTGGAAGGCGCCAAACCATTATTGGAGCCAAATACGTAACAAATCAAGATTGTTATTGAACAGTCAGTCAAAACCATCTCGTTGTATCAAAATACAACGATTCAATAAGATAGGATCGACTAACGTCAAAGTCGTCCAAATCCCAAAAACCTAAACTCAAACCGTCAAATTAATTAAATCCTTTCCACAACCCTTCCCAACCAAACAGTTAGTTAACTAACTCAAGTGAGGGCACTCAAAGTATAACAACGGCCGCTTGGACAATAACGACAAACGCAAATCCAACCAGCAGCGAAATCATAATCGCAGTGAAAGTCATCGAACAAATTATCGCTGTATCATATCGTTATAGCCCGTATCGATACGTTGGTTTTCTTTAAATTGTTGATAAGCGAACTTTACGCATTATATATTGACAATTTGGCTTGTGTATTTATCTCAACTTATTCATTCATTCTTTTCACAATTCACTGATCTGCACACCGTAATCTCCTCTCTGTCTACACTTTACATCCACATCGCGCATCTTCATTATATTGTACAATAACATTCAAACAAATAATAACCAAATCAACAAAAATCTCTCCCACACAACATTACAAGCAATTAAAACCAAAATTAATTACTCCAGCAAAAGAATAATTACATCTGGTACAAAATTCACTTTAACGACAGATGAGAAGCCCTCATCCGTTGTTGGTTCCTGAAAAAAAGGATACAATAATCAAACAGATTTGGCAGAGATGACAAAGAGATCGCAAGTTAAGCAAGGTGACCTGGTATTTGGATTTGAACATACGAAGTACCATTGTGCTGACTTCTTCGTGCAACGCATCGGTGCCAATGATAATGCGATATTTGCAGTGATGCGATGCTTGTTCTAATCCACATGTGAACACAAAGCATCGACAATCAACATTCTGTGACTTGGCCAGATTTATATATCTCTTCCTGTAATTTTCATTCTGAATATTATTTCGATTCAAATGCAAAACTTCAGTGACTTTAATGATTTCACTGCGAGGAATATGAGTCGTTCATCGTGACTCACAGCACTAACAAAGAATCGATGAAACTATTCAGATATGAGAAGAATGTTTATCTGAATGCAGTAAGACTTGATGGCATCGAATGCTTCAAGAAATGTCTCTTTGATAATGCAAATGTAGAATGAGGCATTCTGTGAAAGTAATAAGCAAAAGCACACCTCGACTCAATATCACCATTCGTGTTATCAACAACAACACTCTTCCCTTTTTGAACATAGATTTTGGCATTTTGAACACATTTTTGCCATGTTTTCATTGTATCTCGGTTCACAATGCCGTAATCGTATTCTTGTTGTAATTTCTTCGCGAATTTACTCTTACCACATCCCGGATACCCAACCAATACGAGCACTTCTTGCCTTGGATTTGGCATTATCGCGTCAGCTGAATGAAAACATTCGTTGAAATCCTTTTGAATTCCGCTACTGACCTCATATTGAGAAGATGTTATAACTAGTGTGGTGCGGGGAATTTCGGGGACCCCATATTCGAATCCCTATCCCCGACTCTTTTCGAATCGACCACATTTTGGTGGTCCCCGACTGCAACTTTTCGTCCTCTATTTTCCCCGTTCTCAATATTTTTCTGACCCCGTACCACACTAGTTATAATTGGAAAGGAATGTGGAACGGACGAACGTGGGTCATAGAGGGTTTTAGATGACTGATCGATGAACTCAGATGGATTGAAGGCAGGTATCTGATAGGGTTGCTCAGCTTTATTCTTCAGAAACAATTCTTCAGGTGTATAGAACTGTATTCCCAAATTCATCGCGAACAATCGATCGGCGGCCGAATGATCCTTTTTACGGCTCTGAAAGGCGCTCAGAAACAATGAAGACTGATAATCATAATTAAACACAAATAATGAATAGCGAAACTGATGAGAATTAGAATGCTATTTTCAAACAAGTCAACTACAGCGTTTGCAAGACGTCCAGCCGCATCACCGACATAAAAGCACTCTTTAAGGTCAATATTCACATCACCATTCCCATTCTTCTCCATATAGTCCCACATGCCCGTATATGGCTTACGATATTTCAACGTACCAATCGACACGAATACCTTAACGAATAACGATGACATTCAGTAATACTACTATTATTAACATTCCCAATATTACAATCAACTTCCAATATTATCGAAACACATTCTGACCGCTTTCCATTCGCTATTAATCACTGCAAATGTGTTTTAAATCGAGCAATATCGATTCAAAAAACACTACTAATGTTTTCAACGTAACTTTCGGTTAATTTTTGTAGCAGGATACCTTATTGTATTATCTAATATAAATTTGCTATAAGAAACAGATTTTATCGCTGAAAGAGAATGTGACCTGTATGGGAATGGATAACTTTGCGAGAATCGCTTCTACTTTTCGTTTGAACGAATTCGCATCCAAACGACCCAACTGCAAATGGAAATATTATAATTCCAAATTTTGTGAAATTTGACAGCGACTGCTAATGTCCCAAACCGAAACTGAGCCCATATACCTGAATTCCTTTTTGATTTGTGAAAAAAACGATTTTATAGCCATCCTCGTGTAAACCTTTCAGTTTTCCACGTATTTCAGAACACAGCAATTGCCAGTCGAATTCGTCAACTGGAAAAACTTTGCCAGATTTTGTTGTAATGATTGTGCCGTCTGAAATTCGGAGGAAATTTATTAACGTTATTGATTCTGTGCTATAACTGTCGTTTAGATGAGTGCGAAGTGTTTAAGATGATAAATATTAAAGAGGAATAAACAAAAGACCCAAAGCAGCTGTGGTCCGAACCTAAATCAAAACCAGCAATTTTCGAGCGATGTTCCATTCGATCACAATTGAATATGAACAAATCATTACCGACTTTAGTCCACTTTCCGCTTACTTCTTCTTTTTCGTCATCACCTTTCACTTAAAATAAACGAACGCTACTTCGAATGTGCTCTTCTGAATGAATCTTTTAGTTTTTTCTTCACTCGTTACCTTTTTTCCTTGTGATCCATGCATCCATTGTCGAAGTGTTTTCAGTGTTCTTTCTTTTTGACATTTTATTTAAGGTGAATGTGTGTGAAACAAAGTAAGACGTACCCAGAAGTGCGTCAAACCCGAATATGTTAGTCTAAATTAGCATGCAATAGCGACGATGATCTCAACGATACGCAGCAATGCAAACCAAGAGTTGCGACCGTTCACAGTTAAAGGGCTGCGTATGCTTGCAGTATGCACAACCTTGATCCACCTTTGTGCAACGCAAACATCACGCATTTTCTTATTCAACAAGCAACAAATTTCGTGAATACTTTATCGATTCGAAGAACATAACGTATGCGATTAGGTGTGATACGTACTCATCGACATTTGATAAGTTTGTATCCTTACAATAGAGTAACATCATCACAATAATAGGATACCAATTAATGCTGACAATAAGCTTCGTTGATTACTGTTCACCACTGTTTTGTATACAGACATTCCATTCATGACATTCAAATCTTTTTATTTCATGTTCTCGACGCTAAGCGATAATGCAAAAGCGAACAGATGATTGTCAATGCAATGCGTTTCTAAATATGAAACAACCTAAATCAGAATCAACAACTGCATTCGTCGGAATATTTACACAACGAAACTGAAATACGATAATCATTCGAATTTACTTCCTTCCTCGGAGTTGAGCACGTTTGCCCTGCCCTATTGCTGGACGCACGACTTTACCGCGTAACAATTTCAGTTCATCCTGGAACAAAACATTCAATACCGAGAACCACGATCAACGTTATTATTTGAGGAGTAAAAACTCCATCAGAAGGCTATCCGAGTACTGCATCAGTCTTCCTTCGTCACATTGTTCGCTATTCGGAAAACTGATTTTCGGTGTGATCTTACGGAACAACTGATCAGAAACTACGTAATCATCTAATACATGTAAGGAAAAGGACACTTAAGGAACGTTAAATGTTCTGCATCTAAGTTCGAGCAATAAGAAACGAACAGATCATTAATCACCCAAGCGGAACAACCAATAATTCATGAGATATCTGATAAAGCATTACCTGAACTTGCCTGAACACGACGTGGTCATCAAAGAAGAGTCCATGAAAACGTAACATTTTTGTGAGATAATGAAACATTGGTTGATTCGGGAAATATCCCACCTGAAAAAACAAACTGTTCAAATCAAAACGATTAGCAACTCCGATCCTCGTTTCATTCTCTTCGATTCTCTCTCTTCCAAAAATGATACGCTAACTTCATCTCGAAACATGTAATATAAAAGCAATTCAAAACGATATACCGATTTGTCGTCACGTTGCTCCAACGGTTCAGCACTCATGACGCGCACCACTTTCATACTTCTCGTATCGGTCGGTCTTACCACCTCGTTGAATATTCGGTTCGATAATCTGTCCATGCGTTTCCCATATGGTGTTGGCTGTGAAATACCCCTTCCCACATGCGCAATGCGGGAACGCATCACACGAATTGCACCATTCATGTGTGTCTTCTAAACAAAATGATCATTCACTCCAAATCAGACTCTCTATGCCGCACTCTACGATTCTCGAGAATATCAAAATATCAATAACAGGAGAACGGAGTCTGTATGATTTCAGCTCAACCTTTCTTAGTCACAGAGACCAATGCAACAGTGCTGTGCAATCGTTTATTGTTAAATGCATTTCAGTGAATTTAATCTCAATATGCATAAAATAACAAGATGAAAAACGATAAATGTTGAGAAGATCACTGAATAAGTGAGGATCAGAAGTGAAAAAAAAGAAAGCACACGTTATGATTATTCTATGCAAGGGTATCGCGACCAAACCC